TTAAATGTATTGTTACTTGTTTGAATTCCGAGATAAGATTCTACATCCAATAATCGCTGTAAATAGATAAATAGGTACGTTATTAGAGCAACCAATTGCATATAAATATATAATGGTCAAATGTATAGGTACATAAAAAAAAAAAAAATAAGTGCGAGTCCGACTCCAGCACGAAGGGTTCCGTACCATCATCAGCTATGTTGGTAACGCTGCTTATATTATATATTCTAGGATTTTTAGTATTGAGGAGAAGTAATGCTAACGCGGTTCCTCTTCCGTCCCTCGATTAACTCGAAAATAAAAAAAGAATAAAAAAAAAAGATTTTTAGTATTTGTTGTTATAGCATCCACGGAAATATATAATCTGTGAACATTTCAACTTTCTAACATTCATGGTTCACGAGATACAGCCTGGTAACGGACGGACGGACGGACGGACAGCGGAGCCTTAGTAATAGGCTTCCGTTTTACCGTACGGAACCCTAAAAAATTTTGAACTGTATTTCGACGTGTCCATGAAAACTTATTTAAGTAAACATTATAATCCTGCATTCCTATGTTATAGATTCTGAGCGGAGAGAGAATGTATTGATTTTACAATGATGTGTTTTTTTATTGTTTTTTATTTTTGTGTCCGTCTTCACCTTTTGGGGCCGTAAAAATTCTTTGATTTTTAACTCTTGTATCTTCTTTGATGGGAAAGTGAATTTAGTTCTTGCATTGGGGAGGTCAAAATTCCCAATAGTTTTTAAAAAGTAGGGAAATACAACATAAAAATTGAGGAAAAACAGGAATTTTTTCACAAAATCGGTTTTTGACAAAATAGATTTTGGTTTTTGTCGTAACTCTAAAAATAATGACGTGTGTACACTTTACGGGCATTATCAATTTTCAGTATTTTTAGTTTTTTTTCTATGATTGTCAATAAAATTATGTTTTTTTGGTAAAAAAGCTTGAACATTTAATGCAAGGATCTAAATATAGGTATTGTTATACCTAATAAGTAATAATATTTGAAAAATATTAAATATCTAGTCATAATTTTTTTATAAGCATTTATAGTTCAAATTTATACAAAAGGCTAAAAAATCACGAAAATGTGCAAATTTTTTTGAGTTAGTAATTCCTAAAATGTTTTTCTTTTAAATCCAAGATTTTAAAATGTAATACAATATTCCTTATAAGGTTATCTGCTTTTATCAACAAAAAAAATGTCTATAAGAAAGTCAAATTAAATTTTTATGAGCGTTTGAAATTCAAATGTTTACAACGTTAGATATTCACTCGATTTCTCATGTAGCGATTTTCTTATTCAAAAACGAATAAACGTAGACACTTGAGATTTATATCATATGTTTATTTTATCAATTCCTATACTTGATCAAATTTTCAAAATATTTTGACTTGTTTTGAGCTGTTTACGGACAATTTTAAATTTAAATTTTATTAGCTTTTTAGATTCTGAGTGGAACGATGAATGTATTGATTTTACAATGATGTGTGTTTTTTTTATATAAATATCAATAAAATGTTATTTGTTGGGCCAAAAATCGTCAAAATTTAATAGCATAATTTTTTTACAAGCATTTAAAGTTTGATTTTTGACAGAATTTATCAAATTTAAAATTTAATAATTATTTTGTAGTTAAAAATATATAAAATATTCATTTTTTATAGCTAAGCAGTGAAAATTTAAAACAAAGTGTTACCGACGTTAAATTGGTTATTCTTTAACTAAAAAATCTCAAAAATATAAATCATGGATTTTTTTGTTTAGTTATTTTATGTTCAAATTTGGAGGAAATTACATAATATTTAATAACCAAGAATAATGAGTTGAGTTATTTTGTTGTAATTTTATAATGTTAATTAAACTTACTACTTACTGGTTACCGTATTAATAATAAAAATAACATCTATCTATACATATAAAATGACTTGTCCAGAATGATTCATCATCGCCTAGCCGGAACTACTGTACGGATCAGGATAGCTACCTATTATAACGTAGGCGTCCGCTGAGAAAGGGATTGTAAGAATATAACAGTGACGCTATCTATCAAGCAATATCTTAGTTAAATATTATACAATATTTTTTTCAAAATACAAAACATTTATCAAATTTAAAATTTAAAAATAATTTTGTAGGTAAAAATGAATAAAATGTTCAACTTTTATAGCTAAGGATTGAATACTTACAACAAGGTCCCACACTCCCACGTGAGTAGGTAGGTCATTCCGTAACCAAAAAATCTCAAAAATGTAAATCACAATAGGTATACCTAGTTATTTTTTGTTCAAATTTGGACGAAATACATATTATTTATTAAATATTAAATAACAAAGTATAGGTACTTGGTAACGATTTTATTTTATTGTAGTTTTATAATATTAATTCCGGCTACAGTATTAATAATAAGTAATAACAATATAAATACAATATAAAATATCCACACTGACAAACCGTCACCTCTCAGAATCGTTTTTCGTATTCCTACAATGATATTATATCATTGAATTAAAATTTAATACCATCCAATATCCATTATACAATGACCCACTTGAAACCTACTGTACAGCAGAACGGCATCCACTTAGATACCCACCTTTTTAACATTAAATCTTGATCACATATTCACATGCATGAGGTAAATTAAAATCCAATAAGTATTGATAAAGTAAAATGTTTAATAATTTAAAAGTTAAATCATCACATTAGTACATGACACATGCGACACTTAGTAAAATATATTCGGAAACTGTTGCCAATATTCCGAACGAGTGAAGGTGAACAACGTACATACTGGCAAAATTACTCAAATAAGATTATTTGAAGAGGACTATTCAAAATAATCGAGGGTATAATAATTAATAACCTGTTAAGCCAAATACAATAAACTATATTACTATAGAAAGAAAGTGTAAATTTTGTATGGAGTGGCTGACTTAATTCAGATTTAACCTAGGATTGAGTAGGATTTAACACATCCAATGGTTTACAATATTCTGTGTTTCGTACAAAATATATCGGGTGATCCATATGACGTAAGACACTCATTATATTATCATACATTTACTTTTTAACAAAAGCTATTAACATTTATAAAAATAAAAAATGAAATGCAAAGCAATGCAATGCATTTAGTGTTGAAGACTTCCTAAAATCAATTGCTCATAACATTAGAAAGTGCTGTAATGAATAATACAATTTCTTATTGCACATACAATTTCTAACATACATCGCAATATCGCATTATTGCTTTAGTTTGTATAGGTTCTAGGCATTTTTTTCTAACTACCTGGGTATGAACCTTTAACTCACTAAAACCTTTTAATAGTAAAAAAAATATTGATCAAAATAAAATGATATAATACTAAATTAAATAGGTATAGCAAAACGCCAAAACTAAATATGTTGATAAATTTGTACTGTTGCCAGTTGGGTCAAATAGATAAACCAAGTGATTTGCGTAGTATGCTTGTCCTATATTTTTCCTTTGATAATATTTTGTTATTTGAATTCTGATTGTTGGAATTTTTATGTATACTGTTTACCAGATACTTATATACTTAAGATCATATATTAAAATACACAATTAGATATTCTTAACCATATTAACGGAGACCAAACACTCACGATTCCAAAATTAGAATTACTAGTTCCTTAATTAAGGATTAACCTTAATTACTAAGATAATAAATTTTAAAAAATATCAGGATAAAATTAGGGTATATAGTAATACACTTTGGATACTTAGTATTTCATGAGTCACTCATTATTTTAGATTTGAAATTTAAAAATTTATCACAATTTTAGATAAGTGTAAGTATTTCAAAAGTTTCATGTAGCCTATAGACAAGGTTGTTATAATCATGATGATCATTTACAAATGAACTCATATTAAATAATAAATAATCGTATCGATATATTATAAAAAAAATGAAAAGTATTTAAAACATTTTTAGTAATAACCGCAGGCGCAATTAGGGTTAAAATTCTGGGGGGCTACAGCCCACCTAAAAAAACTATTAATTTAAAATAACCCATACCTAAATAAATAGGAATATTTTTCGGGTGTTCTAGTTAGTCCACTGGTCATTACTAACAGTTTTTTACAGTAATATTTAAGAACACTAGTATTTAAGAAGTATCCAATATTATATATTATACAAAAGTAGAAAATACGAGTACTAAAAAATATTTACTATATTTTGAAAGGGCTAAATTTCAATACCTTTTTATTGTTAAGTTAAATCCTACTAACAGTATTAAAACAAATGAAACACAGTGGTTTTGATCTATATAATAGAACTTTCTAGTTGGTACTTGGTAATAGTTTTAAGCAGTGGCGGTTCGTGGTATTGTGCACAGGAGCACGTGAACCACCCAAAAAAATTTAAAAAAATTATAAAAAATAATTAGATTCATATTGTAACATATAATTGATTATTATGTACATGGTCTGTAATAAAAAAAAAAAAAAAAAACGTTTTGCAGTTTTTCATGTTGAGACGTGTGGTCTATGAATGATTAAATAATTCGGGGAGCACAAATTATTTGTGCTCCTGGTGGCTGTGTGTTGGTTAGTAATACATGGTATTTTGGAGCACATTTAATGTGTGCACCGAACCTATTTTGATTGTGTATCGTTCGTCGAAACGATAACACTGTACATTATCCATTAAATGCGTTATTATAATACATTATTTTGGTATGCACCTATAACAAAATTAATATTTTTACCATCTTACATAGGTATCTTATACATTTCTTGTGCACCACCTTAGGTGAACCTCACGAGCCGCCACTGGTTTTCAGGTAAAAGGAAATTAATAAATTAAAAAATAGTTTATAGATCATACTGTTTATTTTAACACAGAAGACATACTTTTCAATAATCTAAAAATAAAATTTCCTGTAACCAAATTAATATGGTTTGGAAGAATGGTTTTTCAGGCTTACTTTTGGTAATTCTTTTAATGTGCATTTCCCAGTATTGTCAACTGAATATTTCATCATCACTTGGAACCCACACATTTAGTATACCAGCTTCACCACCAGTAACCATTATACCATGCTGCAATGAAAAAAAAATGTCATTAATATTATATTATATTGTAGAACTAGTAAATGTTTAAATAAATATTATGGGTAACAACTAACAACAAATATATAGAACTTATTATGAAATATGCTTGTGTCATAAGGTTCCAAGTTAACAAATAATGTCTAAAAAGTTGTTAAGATTAATTATACTTAAAGTAGTTTAGAAATTGTATAATATTTATTATTTCAATTCAAACTAAATCTAAAAACTACTCATTTTTACTACATACAATTTAAACATCATAAAAGGATTTTTTAATTCTAATTTCTAAGTTTAAAGTTATATTTTATAAAAAAAAAAAATATTCTAAAACTAATTTTTTTTTTTAAATAGTTAAGCATATTAAACATGTTATAATAAGTAAGTGGGTATAGTGAGATCAAATTTAATTTTAACACTAAGTGTAATTTTGGAACTAAACTGAAAAGGTTTTTCCTTCAAGGACATCACAACATTAAAAACGAGTTTGCATAGATTTAAGGTATATCATTACCCAAGAAATATGGCATGTGTCTCGGACTTTAATACTAATAAATTATTCAATGACATACAGGCATTTGAAAGTCACACAGCTGAAGTCTAAACAGCGGCATATGTTTTACGACTTTAACATGTTTACAATTTACAATTTCAATAGTTAAAGATAACATTATTTTTATTTTTTGTATGTAACTTTCAGTGTTTTCTTTGTGTTTATGACACTGGTGCAGGGTTTGCAAACGTTATGATTAATGATTATAACGTTATATTTGACTAAAAACGATTGATATTTGTAAGCGTAATTATAACGGAAAGCGATAATCAAAAATAATTAAATAATGCAAAACAAAACATAACGGTTAACAAAATATATTATATACCATTAAACAAAACATAATGCTAAAAGTAATCTATAGAATATCATTAAACGAAAAATATCGCGAAACGTAATTTATAGAATTTTATTGAACGAAAAATAATGTAAAACAAAATAATTTAAAATCCATTTGTTTAAAAGTTGTATTGGTTTCACAAAAATAATATGTTTATTTCATGCATACGGACATTAGAATTGATTATATTATATTCAGAATCTGGGCCATTACCTACATCAGTTATTATTAATAAATTTAATAGGTATTAACACTACTCTAAATAATGATAAATGTAAACTTGGATAATGTTTAATTGTAAATAACATAAAACGGAATTTTTTTTTCAAATGCAAGCCCTGCACTGGTGTGATTATAATTTTGATACACTTTTTTAGTTTTTTCATAGTAGATGAAACTATTATGGTAAATTTTGTAAAACTAGGTTTATACGGAAATACAATGCGAGTTGAGAATTCAATAATTTTACTTAATTATAATTTATAATATGTATACAATAACAAGATATATTCAATTTTAAATAATTTCATCATCTTAAACACATAAAGATACTTAGGAATATGAAAAAAAAATTCTGAAATACTATCGTAAGTTATTAAAATTATTGTGTAAATCAAACTACATTTACATGTAAAACATAGGCGGCTGCTCACTTGTCAGCCCTATGATGTCATGCGGCTTATTCATCAACTCTCATTATCTTGTTGAATAATCATTTCTTTTACTTTGGAGTTTTACATTATTTGAACTACAATAATACGACAATAAACTTAAAATGAAAAAAAAATGTTTGTGTTTTGATGTCCTTTAAGGTGAAAAACAACAGAATTCATTATAGTAGCTCTTAGTTAGAGAACAATACAATTGAAATCTTTAACTCTAGTCAATATACAAGTATGTACATTGGTACAAAAATACTAAACATTATCTTTAATCGCTTAATGTATACTAATAATAATTTAAAATAACAGACTATTAATTATCACAGCCCATTTTCTAAGGATGTTTTTAGTGAGAGTAAGATTTTTTTATTGTTAAGTTACGTGCAGTTACTGTCAATTAATATAAATTCTACAGATTTTATGACTCTATGTCTCTATGAGAGGTTAATATAACCAACATGTGGCATTCCTTTAAATGAATATCATCATAATAAATTAACTGAAAATGTCAATAATAGGTTAATAAGAATAATTTAGGTAACAACTTTAAATTTGTTATCGTGTTTTATGCTTACATTATAATCATACCAACTGCATCTCACAATTTGTTTGTTATCTTTGAATAAACTCCTAGGTGACAATTCGGGACCATCATTTATTATATTAAGTGACTGTAAATGTTCTCTACATGCAAAATATAAAATGAAGTTATATTAAATCACAGCATAAAATTATTTATAGAACATAAATATATTTTTTTTACCCTCTGCTATTATCATTTCCAACTAACAACATAATATTTCCATTTTTATCTGTTTGATGACAATTGATTATTTGACTAAATAAATCAGGTTTTACCTAAAAATAATAAATTATAATATTGATTACAACTTAAAATTAATAGAAAAATTATAAACTTACATTCATTGAACTACTAATTGTGTCCCTGGGAATAATACTATACGGAGAAGAATCTGTTGTGTGCCATAATTGTACATCCTCTGTGTGTGTAACACAAGATATGATTGAATCCTCATTTTTATTTTTAAACCATCTTAAATTTGCCTTTTAAAAAAAAAGTATTTATGTATTCAATAATTAATTTGTTATATATAATCAATTAAGTGTCTAGGAATGTTTGATATTTATAAAAATATCTGGTGTTTCGTGTGGTATATTAATCTAGCTAGACAATCACAATAGTATACAAATATAAAATAATTTAGGTACCTATAGAAATATTAATTTATTATTTCACTTACAACAGATGATTTTGTATTAAAACTTGATTGAAAAGCATCTTGCTCAGTGGTTTGAGTAACATCAAATAAGTTTATAATACCATCAGTCGATCCACTAATTACAGTTTTGTCTTCAGTGGGATGAAATTTCACCTACAAATATGAAAATGATCAAAATTAAATAATATAAGTACTTAGGTATACACACAGTGTAGCGTTAATAAATATGTCACCGGAGAATAGATTTTAAAATGCCTTTCTTTAGTATCATTTTACCCGTCACCCATTTTTGGTCAATTAGGTTTGGTTACTCTCGCATTGTCTCAGTGAGAGACGAGACTACAAGTGGAATAAAAATTATTGTAGCTACTAGGTAATATTCAAATAAAACATTTTAAACTGTATCATGAATATTATAATTTATATACGAAAATATAAATATATAGGTCTGAATGCTATAACCTATAGGCACATGTTGAAGCAATATTATTCCGATGCGTGATACAATTGTTAACGCAGCATATTATATCATTACAGTCACAGCGGTTCCAATAATATTACCAGAGTTAGTGTGGCATTTCAAATGCCAAAAATGTTTATCTTTTATTATGCATATTTTTCATTACCCAATAAGTCTTAATAAAAATTATTGTAAATTAGAAAACTATAAACTTCTTTGATCTTTAATAAATACCAATCGAGACATTTGACTCTTTGTCCAATCCCTTAACATACTATACATACACATACATTCACAGTATATTCACCTGTGTAATGTCTTCTTGGTGAGTATCCCAATAACCACCAAGTAGATTAGTTGTACGAATATCCCAAAATAATAAGAAAGCATCATCTTTAAACACTTCTGTTCCGGCGACTAAGAATCTTCCATCACAAGATACATCAAAACATGACAATGGTTTCAGTTCAGCATCAGTATCATCTAAAACGAATTAACTTAAAATATACACTAATATTTTTCAGTCTTTTTACCTTTGAAAACAGAAACACATTTTTCTTTTATACGCAAATCCCAAAGTTTAATAGTTCCGTCTTCAGACCCTGTGTACACAATGGAAGATAACTGAGTATTGCTTGAACCAAATCTAAAAACAAAGGAAATAAATTAGTTAATTGTTGTTCATAAATTAATGAATAAATGACAATGATAATTTTACTTGACATCAACAATTTTTTTTTCATGCTCCAAGGATACTCTAATTGACTTACATCCAGCATCAATATCATAGATATTACAAGTAAAGTTGGAGAGTGCTGTTGCTATTCTTAGTGATTGTCCACTATAAAATAGAAAATTTAGACTATAGTACTATTCAATTTACTATCTTACATTTTAGTTTAAATATATCTATATAAGTAAAGTCATAAAGTTAACTACATTTTGTGTGCATCCAAATTCAAAATATAGACATCATTTGAAATGATAACTTCCTCAAATGCTTGCTTGTATTTAATGTTGTAATCTATTTCTTTAGAGCTATCAAATACTGGTTGTTCATTAATGTCAATAACTTCATCTTCCTCCAAACTGCCTTCTTCGTTAAAACTTGAATGATCTGAAGTTTCTTCGCCATCTGAACTAGATTCTGATGAATCTAAGTTAAAAACAATAGAGTTAAGTAGATTTGATACAAAAACAATTGTAATATATTCTTACTAACCGGTATCTGTAATAAAATTTAAAGTCATTGTAACAATAAAAACCAGTACATATATTTTTAACTAAAAAGTTGTTTTGTTCAATAAAATATAAAAAAATGTATTAGATATTTGTGAATTTTAAATTTGGATGTGATAAGACTTTATAAACCACGTGTGTTTACTGTTCAGCGTTCAGTTTATTTTATTATTTAACACAACAGTCTGTTGTAGACACAGATTATATAATCTATGATAAATGATAATCACTTAGGTCGTAATTTGGCAGTATTTAATGTGGGCATTATCCGCCAGGAGCGCTAAAAAGGCAGATAACCTATGTCCACGGACCACGGACTAAGATAGTAAAATATACTATATTATCTTATATATTATATATATCTTAGTCCGTGCCTATGTCCTATTGGCAAAACAAATTAACCATGAATTAAGAAGATAGTTAAGTTAAGATAGTTCTGAGTTCATGAAATTAACACTGGGAACTTGTATTTATATTCCCTACATTTCGCATACAGTCTACAGATACATTTTATCTTAAGTGATGTACTGATGTGTATTTAAATGTACCTATATGATAATATTAGTAGAAATTGCACTTGCCAATTTACACAATTAGCTATAAAAGCGTATAAAATCACTCATATCCCCTTCAAAAATAATAATATAATATAATATAATATATTATAATTTAAGGAAAAAAAAATGTTTAGCCCCCCCCTAAACATTTTTCCTATTTGCGCCACTGCTATTATGATTTGTAAACCCAAAAAAGTTGGGCAAGTGGGTGTCGCTCTGCTGTACAGTAGGTTACAAGTGGGTCACTGTATAATGGATGATATTAAATTTGAATTCAACGATATAATATCATTGTATAAGAAAAACGATTCTGAGAGGAGACGGTATGTCAGTTTAGGTATAACTGTATAAGACATATTATATACATATCTATAGTACTATAAGCCAAAATTTGACCTATAATAGGTACCTATAATAAATTCCAAATTAATTATATCACAATATCCATTAGGTACTTATAACGGGCTATACATCAACGAAAACCGTGATACTATCATAGTTATATAATAGTACACTTTAGAAGTTGCAAGTACTCACGAATAATATTATTCAATCACAACAAAATAACTAAAATAGTTATTTTAGGTTATTTAATATGTAATTTCGTCCAAATTTGAATTTAAAATGTCTGTAAAAAATAACTGTGTTCATATATTTTTTAGATTTTTTGGTTACAGTATGAACTATTTATTAGAACCTTTGTTTTAAATTTGCAATCCTTAGCTATAAAAACTGAACATTTTATAATTTATTAATTACAATGATTGATAATTTTCGAGATTTTGATAAATTTTGTCAAAATTCGATCTTTAAATGCTTATAAAAAAAAACTGTGCATATGTATTTTTAATATTTTTCAACTGATATTGTAACAATATATCAGGAGCCTTGTATAAAATTTTTACACTTTTTGGCCCAACAGATAAAACTTAATTGATATTTATAGAAAAAAAAACTAAAGAAAATTAAAAGCGGTAAATGTCCGTAAATAGCTCAAAAAGAGTCAAAATATTTTCAAAATTGTATGTTGTATAGGAACTGCTAATTTGAACATTCAGTGAAACTTTCATGTATCTACAGTTATTCGTTTTTGAATTACAACAAAATAAGGAAATCACTACATGAGAAATCGTGTGAATATCCAATGTTGTAAAAATTTGAATTTCAAACGCTCATAAAAATTTAATTTGACTTTCTTATTGACATTTTTTTTTTGATAAAGGTAAATAATCTTATAAGAAATCTTGTATTACATTTTCAAATCTTAGATTTAAAAAGAAAAATTTTTACGAATCCTTAACTCAAAATAATTTGCTAATTTTCGTGATTTTTCCATATTTTGTCAATTTTTGAACTTTAAATGCTCATAAAAAAAAAATTGTGACTAAGGATTTTTAATATTTTTCATATGCCTTTCAAACAATATACTAGGAGCCTTCTATTAAATTTTCAAGCTTTCGAAACCAACAAATAAAATTTAATTGATATTTTTAGAAATAAAACTAAAAAAAGATGGAAAATGAAAATGTCCCTAAACAGTTCAAAATAAATCAAAATATTTTGAAAACGTTATCGTGTATATTAAATGTAAATATAAACAACCAGTGAAAATTTCTTGTATACGTTCATTTTTTTTAGAGTTACACCAAAAACCAAAATCGATTTTTTGGAAAACTGATTTTGCGTAAAAATTCCCGTTTTTCCTTAATTTGTATGTTGTTTTTCCCGGTGCTTGGGAAAACTACTCGGAAATTTTTACTTTTGACCCCCCAAAGTACCAACTAGATTCACTTTCCTATCAGAAAAGCTACTGTTGAAGAAAATCCAAGCACTTTTACTGTCCTAAAACATGATGACAGACACAAAAAAAATAAAAGAAAAAAAAGGTGGGCAAGTGGGTGTCGCTCTGCTGTACAGTAGGTTACAAGTGGGTCACTGTATAATGGATGGTATTAAATTTGAATTCAATGATATAATACCATTGTATAAGAAAAACGATTCTGAGCGGTGACGGTATGTCAGTCTATGTATAAGACATATTATATACATATCTATGGTACCTTTTTTTTTTTTTTTCCAGTTTTGAACCGACGGCGTCGCGGGAACGGCTTTCGCATTCTTCCGCGACGCCGCCATCGTTTATTTGAAAGAAACAAATAATTATACATACGTGGGGGGTAGACGGGACAGTTCCCCGACTTACCCCCCTCTATACATGACATATTACATTTAACATTTAAAAATTTTCGGCAGTTGTGGAGATGTTCATCTTTTGGCGGGCCGACCGGAGTCCGCCGCCCTTGAAATCTCGTTCTCCTTTTGTGCTGCGATGCCGTGATCACCGTCCCGCCCGTAAGTATTTTTTACTTCTCGGGCCTACCGGAGTCCAAAAAAAGTTACACCAATAACCAAAACCAATTTTGCGTAAAAATTCCTGTTTTTCCTTAATTTTTATGTTGTTTTTCCCGGCGCTTGTGAAAGTACCAACTAGATTCACTTTCCTATCAGAAAAGCTACTGATGAAGAAAATCCAAGCACTTTTACTGTCCTAAAACGTGATGACAGACACAAAAAAAAATTTAAAAATTTAAAAAATTAAAAATATAAAAACACACATCATTGTAAAACCAATACATTCATCGCTCCGCTCAGAATCTAAAAGTTACCTACTATAAATATTGAGTATTAAACGATTATTTTTTTTTTGGTAATAGCCAGTAATTGCGTCTGAAATTACCATTCACCATGCCACTACACTCATGACTCACCGTGTTGTTAAATTTCCGGGGAATAATGACGTTAGTGTATATTATGCGTATTATACTTATACCTACTGTTTCAATGTTTCATGTTGTAAAAAATATGATTATCATTAACTATTTTATGAGCATGTAACGGAGTAACATGTTAAATAAAATGATATGACGACGGCCTGGTTGTTTTGGGCTAGCTTACTGGCATATTATACTTGAATACTTCTAGCATTGCGAGCTGGGTAATGAATAAATGAAATGCGTGTCAACGTCGCTTGTTCGTAATATGTTGTAGATATCTCGCTCCAAAAAAATAAGAAAACACTTACATAAATATTGACTCTTCTGGTGAAACAGTAGGTAGTTTCTGTGCCGGTGCAACTTCACCGTGGGAACGCACTAGCAGTTAGCACATCAGTAAATTGCCTTTTGCCATAAATTATAAGTATTAACATTCAAATAATATTTCTGATACTGCATCTCAAAATTTACAATTTATTACATTTAAATAAAATAGAATCTTGGGCCAAAAACTGGAAAATTAAAATCAATGACGAAAAATCAGCTTAAATTAATTTTTCCCTAAACAAAAGGGGAATACCCCCCACTAAATTCAATAACAAACCAATTGAGTCAATTCCACTTCACCCGTCAACCAATACCAAATACCTATAGGTATCAGCGGGTATCACTCTGGTCTCTGGAATTCTGGATAAAAAATTAAACTAGTCAAACCACACCAAGCAAAAATGAAAACAATTTAACTCTCGCCTCCATCTACTTGGACCTCTACTAAAATCTAACTTGAGTCTCAAAAACAAACTACTCCTATACAAAGTAATCATCAGGCCCAGTGGCGTGCGGTGGACGGTGGTAAAACATTATGGGCAAGCGCTATATAAGTATACCTACCCACCTAAAATCCAATAAAAATGTACTTATACTCTACTATTTATTACCAAACAAGTTGATTGTTAAATATATATTATACAATATAATAAGTAAACAAGTATTATATTAAGTATTGTAAATTTAAATATCAAAATTAAAATTATTTATAAACAAAATCCGTTCTTCTTTCTTGTTTTACAAACTCATTTATAACTTCATCATAAAACTCTGTGTTTTTTTTTTTTGCATAATAGTTCTTATTCAATGGATATTAATGATAGAGAACTTAGTCTTTGCTGGCCTCGAGTTGATCTCTGATGGGATTTGATTCGGTTTAATGCCGAAAACGATCTTTCAACTGATGCCGTTGCGCTAAGAAAAGTTAATATTAATTGACCAAGTTTATAAACTTCTTGAAAAGCCAGTACCTACTAAATCATTAATTTTAATTTTCTTGACCAAATCATATGGATTACATGTTGAAAACTCTTCATATGTATAAAACACAATCAATTCATTTTTTAATCTTATAAAATCAAACATAGGTATCATTATAATTTGAATTACTTAAGTTTTCTTAAAGAGATATTGGAAATTGTTGTGTATAAACTGAATATTTAGTATATATAGGTAGGTAATATACAGTTCTTTGTTGATGTGCTCGGAACGACACGAGAGCGAAAAATAAATTATTTTCGATAAGATCGAACAATACACAAACAAAATACACGGATAAACAAATAATACAAACAGTCGGTTTCGATTCGAATTTCGGTTTTTCGATAAGAAATAAGAATTAAGGCATTGCCGATTACCGGTTCTACCGACTACCGCGCTGATATAATGTGACGGTGGCGGTGGTCAATCAAATCGCGTACCTATTCGAGTCAGAAGCGTTTTGCTGAGCGCTTTCGAGGACCATGTAAAACCGCCTTGACCCCACTCTACTGCACCCAGTTACTACTACAGCATTGGTCGAGTCTGGAAAAAACTGAGAGCTTATCTATGTATATTAAGTTGCCTATACAGTAAAACATTACAAATTATATTATTGTTTGTATTTATTGTATTTGTAAATTCTTCTGATTAAATCATGAGGTATGACATTTAATATTATTAAAAATAACCAATAAGTATTCATTTTTCCCTTTCTTTTTACTTTTATCTGGGCACCTCGCTTCCCCTGGCCGCACGTCACTGATCAGGTTAGTATGGTCATACGGCATCCAAATTTGGGGCCCTGCAAAACCCTCAAACTTTCACCCTATTTAAGCTTTCCAGTCAATTACCTTAAGACTTATCACCGGTGCTCCATGGTGCATAACAAATGCAGCCCTCCATAATAACCTAAAAATACAAACAGTAAACGAGCTTGCAAAAAGCCACTATAAAAGTTTCCATTCAAAATTACCAAACCCCATAAACCCCTTCATTCAAAACATGTCCTCTCTAACATTACCACAAATTCCCCATCGATTAAAAAGAAACTGGCGTAGAGTTTACTTAACTGGCATACAGTAGGGCGAATCGGTTTTCGCCCAAATTCGACCTTTTGGTTTTTGCCCAAATTACCTTTTTTACCTAAACACAAAAAAGAGTGATTTGGTTTTCGCCCAAAGAAATATTTATAGTAAACGAAAAAACATTTTGGTTAACACTGTATTTTTTTTTTTTATTGAAAATGTGTCTAAATTACTACGTAATACGTATACCTACATAATATTTAATAAACTAAATTAAAGATTTTAAATGAAATGTATAAATGTAAAACATATGAAAAAAAATAGTATAATATTAAAAATTAAATTATTCGTCGAGATCCAGATTTGTATTTCATAATTTTTGATTGGTTAATTTCTTGTCGCTTGTGTTCTTTCGAAATTTTCAAAAAATACTGTGGCTTTTTTTTGTTTTTAATATCAATTGTTAACAACTATTATAATATGCATTTTTAATTTTTATCAGGTTTAGTTGAATGCGGCCTAGACTGTGCGTTCTTAATAGGACAAGGCTGATGGTGCCAGTAACATGAGTGGAAAGGTTCAAGGAGTCAAATCTTATATTCAAACTAAATATCCGAAAGCTATTTACGTACACTGTGCTGCACATTCCCTAAATCTTGCAGTCTCAACAACAAGTGACTTAAAGCCGATAAGAAACTGTTTAGGAATAATTTAAAAAGTGTATACATTTCTGAACACGCTTAAACGTAGCGCAGTCATGTTTCATGTCATTGACAATGAAAATGCAGATTTAAATATAAAAAAACTGAAAAGACTTTGCGCTACTCGATGGATACAGCGTTATGACGCTGTTAATGATTTTTGTGAATTACTGGCATATGTTATGATACCATTAGATAAAATATCAGAATGGAAAGATTCATCAGGCGCAGATGCTTCAATACCTACTGAAAAAGGCTATTGATAGTGAATTTTTAATTTCATTATTTGTCATAAAGTAATTTACTTTAATTTTTTTTTGTTTTTGTTGCTGTGCAACTTGCAGAAGATACAATAACTTCTTTAAAAAATATTAGAGAAAATTCAAAATATAGAACAAGAATTTCAAATTATATATAACTCAGTGAAAGTAAATACTTAATTTAAAATTAAATCATACATTTTTGAATAAAATAAACTCTAATTTTTTTCTCAGGAAATGGCAAACATTATTGATGTATAAATAAAAACAAAAAGAATTACAAATAAACAGAAACACCGAGCTAATTACAAGACTGAAAATGATGAAAACATGGAATTAGTTGATTTTCTCAGAATTTCAATTTTTATACCATATATAGATAATTTTATTTCTCAATTAGAGTTAAGATTTGTGGATCATAAAAACATTTTCGAAGGTAAGTTATGACGGTTTAGTAGTTTATTGTTTTTTTTTTTCATAACATTTGTTTTATGTAAACTAATGCTTCATTAACTTTGCAGGATTTGAATGTTTATTTTCTATTCAATCCTCCAAGGAAGAATTAGAATCATTCAACAAATTATTAGAGTCTTATACGCCTTTAATAGATTACAATAATTCAACAGCAGAATTAATGTTGTGGAAAGTTAAACTCTCCAGGTTCAACATTGTTCAAAAAACAAGTCTTGAAGCATTTTTGCTGTGTGATTCAAAAATATTTCCAAACATTAATAAATTGTTAAAAATGTTATGCACATTAGCCGTTGCGGCCCTTGAATCAGAGTAGGAGGTGGTGTGATTGAGGAAGTTGAGGTGCTTCCTATGTGCGCCTGGTGCCCTGGTCAGTTACTCAGTTCACTCTTTACTGCAACTACTTGTTTATAATGGTGTTGTTTTCCATCGGCAGAATCCATATATCTGTCAAAAGTCTTATGTCTCCTTTCATCTGATACTATATGTTGGCCATGAGAATGACCGTTTTAGTTGTGAGTATAAGATGTGTGTATTTGTCCCGTAACACACTCCGCGATATAAAAAGTGGGCCACTGAGTACCGAGACCCGTACCACAGAATATATGAAATTTCGTATTATATTCTGTGCATAGAGTAATACTCTATGATTCTGTGCATGTGTATTATCACACACCGCACACGGCGAGTACCTTATATACTGATAGTATTGTCACAACTCACAGCATTGTACTATATTGTGGACCGACGATGTAGAGAATAGAGAAGATATATATATTATATAATATTATATTATCTTATACACAGCTTTAGCCTACATCGTCTGTGGACCATTGAAATTCAACGGCCCTTAGATTCGTGACGGTCAGGTGGGTAGGCAGAAAAAAAGACTAGAAATATAAATATAAATATAAATGTGAACATATGTATGCTCTACCTACTCCTAATTAGTAATTACCATGTATCTATAAAAAAATATAATAATATATTGCAATGAAAATAATAATTAATTGTTGATTGTATTAAATATAAATTGTAAATAAAATAAAAATATAAATATGAACACAATATTATGTATACCGTATACGTTATGATCTTAGATCATATAAGGTCATGATATATTGTTGTATTACAAGTTATAAGTCAAAAACATCATTTTAGATTCTGAGTGGAACGATGAATGTATTGATTTTACAATGATGCGTGTTTTTTATTTTTGTGTCTGTCATCACGGTTTGGGGCAGTAAAACTGCTTCGATTTTCTTCAACAGTATCTTGTTCGATGGAAAGTGAATCTAGTTGATGCATTCGGGAGGTCAAATTTTAAAATTCCCAATAGTTTTCACAAGCGCCGGGGAAATTAACATACATATTCAGGAAAAACGGGAATTTTGATAATAGTTCCATAGATAATAATATTATAAGCACGGACTAAGATCTTAGTCCGTGATTATAAGATTATATTATCTATGAATAGTTTATGTAGCAGATTGATATTTGATAACTGAATAACTGATTGTAAAATACTAAAATGTTCATAAAATAAAAATAAATATTAAAATTGTATAATAATATAAGGAACAGTTTACTAATTAAAACTTAGCATACAAATACTAATATAACCCAGCATACAATTGATATAACACGATTTGAACAGATTTAATTATGTCAAAAAAAGTAAGTAATGATCAGTAGTTACATTAGTTATTACATAATTATTATGTAAGGTATGACAATAATAGGTAAGGTAAACCAATCTATTTGTATATTTAATTTTTCAACTGGAAACTCTTATGATTAACACCACTCACCCATTTTTTGTTTCAATGTGCAAGTAGGCAATAGGTAATACCAGGGGTGTATTTAAGGGGTCCACGGGAACCACACATTGTGTATATAATTGATCAGATATCATATGTATAATTTGAATTATTTGTGGAATGTTGTTTTGCTTGTAACTTTTTATTAGATAGAATTACTGAATCATAGCTCTAGGTCAAATTGCCTTAAGAGATTGGAAGCTATGATTTTCTGTCTTTGTATAACACTCATGGAATAATATAATTTAGACATGTTTTCACTCCAACGTACCGATTAATCAAGTAAACCAAACTATAGATATAAATTAAAAATTTGCGATAAAACCTTTAGGTAATAAGTGTTGTACAAAACAACACAATATAATAAATAGTTAATGAGTATTATTTCTTATTAAAAATGTATAAATATTTGTATAATAACTACATATTATTAGATGGATATTCAATATTCAATATTGTAATATTAGTTTTAAATTTGCAGTTTCTGAAGTATTAAAACTAAATCCTCATTACATAATACATATAAAATATTATTATCTATAAATGGACCAATAATGTTCTTCTGTAGTTTAGTCTATAAGTCGCCGCCTAGTTCAAAACTACAACTCAAGTTATAATAAATTCGATTAATGTACGCCATCTTATAACAATTTCAGTTCAAGAACATAATAAAACATATAGTTATAATAAGTCTACTTGAAAGAATTTTCAATATTATAATTTACATGACGTTACATAAAAAATCAATATAGATACCCATACAAGAAAAACCAATTTTTTTGTTGTTGCAGTTTTGAACAGAGGTGTTGAAGTGACCTCTCTTAAAATCAATTATTATTATAATTATCTGTTATTGATATGTATTTAGCTGTAAGTTCTAAGTGTAACTAGGTTACATGTTCAAGGTGCTGAAGTTATTTAAGTTCTTAGTTGGTTTATTCACAAAATGTACTCTGTTACTTCTAGAAAATGCTATTGTAAATGTTATAGTATGAATATTAATATTAAACATGATGTTGATATAATATTAGATAAAATTATGTTTCAGAATATGGCGAATCATCCATGCGATAAGCTAAATAATTTAAGAAATGAAGATGAACTTTTTGATAATTCACATTCTTCTGAAAATTTAAACAGTACTAATAAATTGAATTTGTCGAATACTCAAGAAAAGAATAATTTTGAAACCACTATTATGTCGACCAGTACAGATGTTACTTCTCACAAAAAAATAACTGTAACTAATATTGTACATGGCGCAAATCAGTTAAATAAAGCACAGTATAAATTTTTAGTTGATAAAATACATTCAAATGAAACTATTTTGAATAGTCAAGATGAAAAATTATTATGTGAAGTGGTAGAAAAAATGAACGATAATATTTTTAGTCCAAATACTAATTTATCAGATTTAAATACCCAACAGTTTATGGACTTACATTTAGAAGGTGCTTTCCAACAACTAAATGCACTTTCACCAACATTAGATATAGATAGTTCTAAGACATTTACCATTCAAAAAATAAATTCAGACAAATCAACTGTCATTTCACCATTACCTTTGATTGATGAATTAAGAAATTCAGAAATTAAAAACAATAATCCAATTATTTTCAATGATCCAAAGATATCAGAAAAAATCAATTATCCATCTCTTAAAATTGATCTTGAATTGTCTATTCGAGATCATTATGTTGAATATCCCGGTGAAGATCAAGATACGGACATAATTGCATTTCGAGCAATGTGTGAGGCGTTGTTAAAAATTGGAGCAGTTGATAACAATATAAAAGATAATAATAAAACAATTGTGAAGAAAAATAATCAATTTAACAAACATGTTTATAAACATGTGAAACATAATGTAATAAAGGGCTCAAACAGTACAGAATGTGAACCTAGTACATCTAAATTAAATTCTTTTAAAGGTGCTAATGATATTTCAAAACGTTTAGCACGCAAAAGACATCAAAACAATGATTTAGTTTTTGATTCATCTGATGATAGTTCACCTCAATATTCAAATGAACTATCTTCAAAACAATATAATTTCAAGAGAAAATTATCAAAAATTACTTTTTCAAAGAATAATTTAAAAATTAATTCTAAGTGTTATTCAGATACAAACACGATTCAACCAAAGAATGTAAATAAAATTAAATTGTCTGATTCAATATTTAAAGATAAAGAGGTTGATTGTATGTTAATTGAAAATAAACTGCCAAAAGTTCAAAATGTAATTAATGATTTGAAGTGCAAAAATATAAATGACGATTTATTGGAACAAACCAAACTATTAAAAGAAAATCAAACAATATTTCATTTTCAAACAAATGGCAAAGTGCACAAAGATATGTTAAATTCTATCAAAAAAAAAAATTGTCATTCTATTTAATAATTTATACAGGTGCATTATCTAAAAGTTATGTATACATTTTGATTTATTTATACATTTTAGTGGTTTTTATATTTTATTTTTTTAAATTCCATGTAAGTTATTAAACAAGTTTGTTGATAAATAATATTGTATTAAGGTATAAAAAAAATATTTACTGAATATACAATATATTCCAAAAACTTTTTGTTTAATTTATTGCATTAATCATTACAATTTATTTTAGCAATAACAGTCATAAATTATTAAATGATTCAATACCAAAGCAATTATCTTGTACTTTTTAATTTAAGTTCAATAATTTTATTATTTTGTAATTTAGGTTCTTCAATTGTATTTAGAGCTATGCAGATTACAGGGTTAGGTTAGGTCATTACTAATTATAATGGTAATCGGAAAAAAAAAGCTCCAGACTACAATATTGCTCATAACCTCATATGAACAAATATTTTTTAAATGTTAAATAGAATCTATAAATTACCATTTACCACATTATTAATATTTAATGAAAAATATGTATATTTTATTATATTATTAAAAAGTTATATATTATAAATATTTTGTTTTAAATTACTATAATATATTACGTGTAATACCTATGCCTCGTGCCTACATTCAATAAATTATTGTTTGATAATTATTATTATTATTACCTATATTTTGTATAATATTTTTGTTTACTATGTTTTTAACTGTATTATTTGACGTATCGTATCGATCATTCGAAATATTTGTATATGCTATATTTGTGAAGTTATTAAGTTAGTTAAGTTGAATTACACATAATATATTATCGTAATTAAAAACAAAATATTATTAATACTATATCATTTTTTTAATAATATAATATACGTATTTGTAATTAAATACTAATGATGTGGTAAATGGTAATTAATAATTATAGATACTAATTAACGTTTAAAAAATATTTGTTCATGTTGCATGTGGTGGCGAGTAATATTGTATTGTGGGGATTTTTTTTCCGGGATTCAATTATAATTTATAATGCATATTCTATACATGGTAGTGCGCCACTAGTGCCACACTGCCACTTCACGTCTTCACTATAGAAATCACGGTTGTTATTATTCACCACAGACTTCTATATAATACTGTATTACAAATGTCTATTGGAACGAATAATTGTGGAACATGTAATACAGTCCCTATTATAATATAGAAGTCTGTGGCAATCACAGATATATAATTTTATATATTTTTATATCTGTGGTGGCAAATGGTAATAACCCCCGCATGGCGCATCCTGACTGTATGTTCCGTCCACGATTAAAGATATATAAGGTATATGGTATATGTATATCCACAGATATAAAATACTTTATATTTTATATCTGTGGGTATATCAGATTCTTTAATCGTGGTTCCGTCTCATCTATGCCCTAGCCTAGCCCCTATGGATTAAAGATGAAGTTATCTTTAATATGCTTTAATCGTGATTTTTATCATATTATTTTATAAGCAAATTTAGCTTCTGATATAATAAACTAATCTGATTGGTTCCACTATCAGCCACCATTTTATTTCGATAGTTCAAAAATCGTGATTTCGATAGTGAAGTTATTAATTACCATGAACTAAGATATACAGGACTGGACACCGATAGGTTGGCGGGTATGAAGGGTACGGTCAGTAAATGTTACGCCTCTTACCTTTAATCGGAGCTGGCGCAGTCTATGAGAATAAATTTGCAACCTAATTTATAAAACACAAAATTTGTATGCTATAAATATAATACGAATAGGTACATAATAATCGTATATAATCGTATAGGTACATATTATTTCGAAAACAAAACATAATTATGTTTATTTTAACACCTAATGTCATTCTGTACCGTACATGCTTAACGGCAGTTAACGCATACGGTATTCGATATAAAGTTCGTAAAAATGGTTAACAAGTGTTCTGTGTTGCTGTGTAAAAGTCGAAAGCACAATATTAAAAAGTATTCGATATTTCAAGCGCCGAAAAATAAAGATATTTCTGAACTATGGTCCAAAATTATATCGCAAGTTAACCACAAACAAACTAATGCGAAATATTTGTGTGAACTCCACTTTAGTAGTGAAGATATTATAAGGAATTATTCTGGTTGGAATATGCCAGTTAAACAGAGGTAACTTGTGTTTGTATTCTGTCTGGTATTATATTATTTGAATAATTATGATAATTATTGATCCTTACCATTGTTTATCCTAAATTATTTGTTAATGAAATGAAAAAATGTTAAATTAATTTTTTTTTCTTTCAGTTCTAGTTCTACAGATAGTAATAATGTTTCATTTTCTTCTGCTGATTTTGTTATTCCGCTGTCTGCTACTAAACCTAGGCTAAAAAAAAATGCTATTCCTTCAATTTTTGAAATAAATGGTTAGTGTAATGATTTAACTACATGGATATATGTATATATTATAAAAAAAAAAACTATTCAATTCATCTTATTTTTAGATCAAAATGTTACTGTTACCAATAATTCTTTAAGTGTTGAAGAATATAACAAATGTTTAGCGTCAACTAGTAACTATTATTGTTCTGATATACTACAATGTTCGTCGCATGAGGTTAATTAAATAATAATTTGAATGTTTAACTACATATTTAAACTTACAAACCTAATTATAGTATAAGTTTCTTATAAAGTTGGAAAAATAAAGTAAGGTATGAATGTATTAAGTGTTTTTAATCTAAGATTTCTTTTTAGTCTTTACCACTTCAACCATCATGTAGAAAACAACTTAAGTGGTCTGCTGAAGATGTAATCTTGCCAGAACAGTTACCATATCCACAAAATGATGAAGTAATCAAATATAAATAAAATAGTCCCCCCCCCCCAAAAAAAAGAACACAAAAATACTAAATAAATATTTAATGATCTGTTTTTAATTTTTTTATTAGTCTCCAATATCTGACTTGTTTAGTTCCTATGATGATTTATTGAAAAATTACAAACATATAGTCTTACCTATTGGTTGGAATAGTGTATGTGAAGATGGTTCAATTGTGTTTTATTTTGTGCGTCCAAATGGTTACAACAAAATGGCTGTTGTTGAAAAACAATTAGTATTTACTGATGATGAAAAAGTTGAGTGCTATGTATTAAATTGCCCTGTGCAGTTGGATGATTTTGAAATGACAAACATTTGTTTTCCTTTTTCTTCAAAATTGATTGAATAAACTTTGTGTGGCTTAAATGTAACTCAAACATGCAATGGTGGTCCTAGTCCAGATAATTTTAAAGGTACAAAGAAATTGAATTTTGTTTATTATTATTTAAATTATTTAATTGAATTATGCAAATATAACAAAATATTTTTTTATAATACATAATTAAATAATTTACCACATGCTTAAATTTTCAATGAGGATATATTCTCTAGTTTTTCAACACATTTAGGAGTTATTGTGAAACATACAAATTTGGATATAACTAATGTTTGGCGCCATGTTAAATGTCCAATGTTAACTTCTGGAAACAGCCAAAAATGTAATTGGTGCAAAAAACTGTTGGCTATATAACTCGGAAACTAGCTAAACGTTATAAGTGTGAAGAATGTATAACATATTTCAATAGTTCAACAGAAGCATCTGCAAATCCTGTAGCTGCATTAACAAACATAAAATCCAAAGGCTGGTTATTACATCCTAACCATAGTTTATTTGAGTTTATTAGGTATATACAATGGTGGGCAAGTTAATGAAAATAATTAACTGTGGAAAGTTAAGTTAATTCAATTAAATTGCCTTCAGTTAAGTTAAAAGTTAACAAAAAAATAAAATTTAACTAGTTAAGTTAAAAGTTAAGATGGAAAATAAAATTAACTTAACTCAGTTAAAAAAAAGTTAATTTTTTTTTTAAGTCATAATATTAATAGGTATAGGCTGTTTTTAAATATTTGTCATTTAGTACCATTATAATAGTCTATTATTAAAATAAAATCAATGAATAATGATAATAGTATAATACCTACCAAAAATTGTTTCCATATTTATTTCGATAATGTTATTTTCTAATCGCATACGTTTATTTGTATTTATAACGAATACGGCAATATAAATTATAATTTATAAATATCTCGGACGACTTTTTGACTTTTGTTTTGTCTATTGGAATTGTCGTATTTACCAGTAACCAGTATATATTATTGATATAATGATATCCATTTAAAGACTATGATATTTAGTTTTAAACCTGTTTTTAGGAATTGGAGAGTTAGATAAAACAAAAATCGGATTATTCAATACCATTAAATAATATTAAATCATTAAATAATAGAATTCGTGAAAATAGCCAGTCGATACAAGGATAGTATACTAATTATTACTCTTTAGTCTTTACTATAGTACCTATAGATTATAATATAATTTGATTATTATGAATTGATGATATTATATTATTAGAAAAATAAATTACCAAAATGGCAAAATAGAAAGAATAAGTTTTGTCTCTTGGTTCCACATGATAAAAATTTAATTTAATTAACTTAACTGTACAATAATGATAATTAACTTTAAAAAGTTAAGTTTAAACAATACAAAATTTAACTGAATAAGTTAATAAGTTAAAAACAAAAAAAACTAACTAGTTAAGTTAAAAAGTTAAAAAAAATTAACTTTTTAACTTAACTTTAACTTTTTAACAAGTTAATGCCCACCATTGGGTATATAGAAGATCTATTTAACCAGTACTGTAAATATTCTGACGTTTTTGAATTAATTGTCAACCACATAACTGAAAATAATAAACAGTTTTGGTTTTCATGCTCCCTGCATAAAACAGATGTTATGTCTGATATAATTACATAATACATTACAATGCGTATGCGGCAGTATTCAGTTTTTCAAAATAGAGAGCAAAACAAATTGAGTTCTAAGAAAAAAAAATTGTCGAAACTAGTCAACACTTAATTGTAATTTTATTAATAAAATATATTTTACATTTTTACTATATAAATAACATATTAAATTGTTTAAGTCAACCTAAGCACATAAATAGGTCACCTTAAGACATTACAAGTAGACATGGATACATTTTCAAATTAAAATATTATAGTATAAACATGAACTAAGAAGATCTTCTTAGTTCATGATTACAAATATTAATAAGTTTGTTTAATATGAATATATATTTTTTAATTAGGAAATATTATTAATTAAATACTATGCATAATATTTTTGAAAATAGCTTAAATATGCATTAATAATACAATATAAATTATAATTTAAAATATTCCTAATATGTACGTTCCTAAGTATACATACTCATAACAAATATTTAAAGTTGTGTCTTACATTATGAAAAGTAGATATAACTACTAACTAGTAACTACATACATAACTTTTTAAGTAAATAAAATAAAATATTATATGGAAGTGCCTTAAATTCCGAGCTGTAATAATAATGTAGTAAATTAATTCGTCACTAGATAGCGTAGGTATCGCTTAAAGGTACAATGCGTAACATTGTCTGACCGGCTGATAAGGCTCTGTGTCCAGTCCTGTATATCTTAGTTCATGTTAATTACCTACTTTGATTAAATTGATAATAGTCATTAATCAATACGTCATGTTTATACGCAGTCCATACTGAATACTTGTCATTTGTCAAGATTCAAGAATGTACGGTACTATTTATTTACTATTTACTATTTAGAATGACAAAATAAATAGGTATGTCAGCAACTCGTGATACGCATGTTTGTGACGTAAGCATTTCTCCAACAGGTTGAGCGGTGGAGTGGTGGTGGAGTCTTCGGCGGCGGCGGCTATTGCGGCAGTGACGGCGGTGGACCAATGACAACCGGAGAAATGCTACGTCACAGTAAATGGCTGGGCGGAGGGTGGGTGCGCGATTTGTTTCTAAATCCGTAATATTGCTGACATACCTTTATAATTTGTCAATTGTCATGCTATTTACTATTTAGTCATTTAGTGACAAGTGACAAACTGACTACTGAGTAGTGAGATAGTGTCAGCAATGAGCAATGTAATTGGTTTTATACGACAGTACACCAGCTCCACGTATATTCTATAATATAATATATTATAATATTGTTCTATCTATGCTTTAAGTATTTACTGTTTAATAATATAATATATTTGTTATTGAAAAGTAAACCACTTTATCGTAAATAAAATATTTCGATAAATGTAAAACATTTTTTCCTGCATAATGTTTGTGTACACTTGAAGAATTATTTATATATTTAGTTGTTAAATATTCTTAATTTTTTGGATTTCGTATTTATATTGAGATGGACAAGAAATATATTGAGTTAGATGACAATGTGCTGGATCAAATTCTTAAATCGGAAACCGACCTACATAATTATTCTCAGCAGGTAGAATCTGATTTGAAAAATCATGAGAACCTCGATGTGGAAAAATATATCAAGTCTGGAGATCAAATAGTGACATTACATAAACATTTGAATCATTGTGAAAACGTATTGGAGCACACAGAATCGGTATTGTATACTTTTCAAGAAGAATTACAAAATATAACAAATGAAATTACTAGGTTACAGCAGAGATCAATATTTATGGCTCAACAACTCTGTAATAGACAGTCCTTCAAAGGGCTCATGCATCAATTTATTGAAGATGTAATTGTGTCTGAAACACTTATTTCAGTCATAACAACATGTTCAGTGACAGATGAAAAGTTTTCAACACATTTGTCTGTACTGAACTACAAAATATTGTTTGTTGATGAACAAAATTTCAAAGATGTAAAATCTCAAAATGATGTGAAAGATGTATATGAGAAATTAAAAATTACGGCTACGTCAAAAATTAGACATTTCATTATGGAACAAATAAGTAAATTTAAGAAACCTACTACAAATTATCATATACCACAAAACACTTTATTTGAGTATAAATTTCTGTTTGAGTTCTTGCTCAATCATGATTCAATATCAGCTCAAGAAATTTATAATGACTATGTTGATGCCTTAAGTAAAGTTTATTTTACTTATTTTAAATCATACTTGAGTTATTTACAGAAGCTACAATTTGAAGAAGTAGCCACAAAGGATGATCTATTAGCAGTGGAGGACACAACGTCACGTACTCTTTTTCAAAAATCAATCAAAAAAAATACTGTTTTTACGATCGGAAACAGAGCAACTGTTCTCAACGAAATTGACAATTCGATCATTATACCACATCAAAATAATTTGACCAATTTATCATTTGAGGCAATATTTAGATCGGTCCAGTATGCTCTTGTAGATAATGCTTGTCGAGAATATAAATTTGATTGCGAGTTTTTCAAAGTAGACCAACCCACAGCCCAGGGACTGTTCTCTCAAATCATGGGTAAAACACTAGGACTTTTGATTAAACATTTAGAACATTTTGTTGAAAACTGCTATGATGCATTAGCACTTTTTTTATGTGGCCAGTTAAGTATGCGTTATCAAGCTCTTTGTCAAAATCGTTTAGTTCCAGGGCTTGCACAGTATTGGGATACAATTCTTGCAATGATTGGGACCAGATTTCGATTTATACTTAAACGACATATTCAAAGCGTTAAAGATTATGATATTTCCAAATTTAATAAAGAGAAGAAGCCTCACTTTGTTATGAGAAGATATGCTGAACTTGTATCAGCTATAGTTTCATTCAGTGAAAACAATAAATGTGAACCTGAATTAATTTGTAGCCTTACTGAAGAAGTTTTAGGGTTTGTTCTACGTCTTGCCACTATGTTTAAGACTCGTAAAGATCGTTTAATATTTTTGATTAATAATTATGATTTGGTATTGAGAATACTAATGGAACGTGTTAGAGATAGTTCATTTGAAGTAGATAGATTTAAAGAAGAGCTTTCAGCAAGAAGTAAAGATTATGTTGATGAAGTACTTTATGTATATTTTGGTGGAATGATTAAGTTTGTTACAGACGCAGAGAATGGCCGAGATATTGATTCAGATTCAAGGCAATTAGGATTGACTAAGACATTCATATCTACCTGGAAGATGTCTTTAGAAGAGATAAATAAAGAGATATTACCTTCATTTCCTAATCTAACAACAGGTGCTTCTCTGTTACAATTAGCATTTTCACAGTTAATTGATTATTATCATAGATTTCAAAAAGCTTTATTAGCTCCAAACAAAGCACAGTTACCTAATATACATGTGATAATGATAGAGATAAAGAAATATAAAACTAATTATTAGCTTTCATACTCAGATATTGTTACAACCTAATTGTAAGACACAATTTGTTGTGTCTTTTAGGAAATATTATAAATTGTTATTATTATTTTTAATTATTTATACGTTTTATTTTGTTAATAAATGTATTATTTTATTTATACTATTATTTTACCTATTGTTTGGTTACACATTTGAAAAAATTGTTTTAACCCTTTCACTGCTACACTATTTGTCCACCGCAACCTGTAACATTTGTTTTTAATTTTTTTTTAGATTTATATGATCTAATTATTTAAGTTTAAAACAATGCAAGCCATGGTTTCCAAAACTTGTATGGTTACCAGAAAGTGAGAATATTATAAATTATAGGAATGTAATAGTACGCCTGGAGCAGTGAATGGTCTAAATGTTTTGGACATAACAGTATGTCTGGAACATTGAAGTGTTAATGGTTTAGTTTCTAAAATATTAAATTTGTTGGTAAAATAAATTTTAATATGTTAGTTACTCATGTTCAGCGAATAATATTATGCATAATATAGAATATATTATCAATGTCCATCATTATTATAATATTTTACAGTATTGTATTTACTAAACAATTCTATGGCATTTTTTTCAAAAGAACTAATTGGGTATTTTATTTTTAATCACTAGATTAAAAAAAAATGTCTCAGATAATACTTTAAAAAAGTAATTTTTAGAATGTTTATGAAGTTTTCAAGAAAACTGAGAATAATAATTTTTAGTACAACGTTTTATCTCCTATTAAATTTAAATTTTTGTTATTTTGTTATTGATTCATAATTGTTCAGTATTTAAATAATATTAAGGACTTAAAACTTTGAGCTTTTATTTTCTTATACATTTATAGATGTCCATGGTCAAGAGATAATTACACATATGTTGATGATCTTATAATTTAAATAAAAATATAAAATTGTTTGGAGATGGTTTTGTTTTAAATTCATGTTATTGATATCAAAAACCAGAAAATGTAAAAAAAGATATCTTATTAACTTAAAAAAAAAAAAATAAATTATAATGTAATATCTTATTTTACTGCTCTAATATTTTACATGTTAATATAATGTATATTGTATTAAGTATTATACATTTATACATAATATTATGTTCTGTTGCTATGAATAATAAAGATAAATGTAGATGTAATAAATACAAAAAATTAATATCAAATTATAAATTTATCCATTTACAATCCACCCCCTCCCCCCCCAAAAAATAAAAATAAAAAATACTCTTTGTATTTTGTAAGAATCAATCCACCTTAGAAATTATATAATAAATAATTAAATGGCAGGGAACAGAATAGTTGAAATATATTAATTATACTTCATCTATTCTGTTCTTTAACTACGGTTTAAGTGGACCATGTGGTGAAACGAGTGAATGGAAATATGGATTCTTAAGTCGTAAACTCGTAACGGTTCAAGTGTCCAACGATTGTGATAGAACTATTATAGCAAGGTCACGCTTTAAGATATTTTATTATTATATTAATACATTATATAATATAATAGTAACATACTAATAATAAGTAAATCACAACACTACTAATAGTGTACAAAAATCATACAGCATAAAAATCACGGTTGTATCTTGTATATCAGTCAGTGGAGCAACCAGAATTTTTCCAAAGGGGGGGTCGGTCCATACTTAAAAGAGCATAGACATTTTAACCACGGACTAAAAAAAAAATCTGGTACCAATAATAATTATACAATCCACATACAATATATTTTTGATGAAAGATAAAAATATAAATCAGTATTTAATAATATTTTCGAACCAATTTGAGAAAATACATAATAAATATTATTATTAATAATACTTATGTATATTAATATTTTTGTAATTATTACAAAAAAAAGTAAAATAATTCATGATATAAAATCTAAATGACGTTTTGAATTAGTAATTAGCTAGATAACGTATTTATAATTTCTTCAGATGTTATTCATTGTTCTGTGGTTATACTTAGATACTGACTACTGGCGTCAATATGAATATTTAGAGCAGCTAGTGGCCATAGAAATATAATAAAAATTCGGATCACTTAAAAACCTACTACCAACAGAATATAGTCTATTCTATTTCTATAATCAATGGTTTCACGTCGCCGACATTAATAATTTTATACTGTGTACCCTCTATAATGGTCAAAAATACAACTGAAAAGTACCTGTAGATTCTAATATTCTATTGAATAATATTATACAAAAATATCGAAAATAAAATTATTTTATAATAAAATAAATCTCAAGTTTTAAATTTGGTAACAGTATACCTTATAAGCGGAACAACGGGATTAATACAGGACAGACTTGAAAAACGGGACAAAATGCGTCCCGCATAACTTTTGACGGGGCAACGGGACCGTGGACACATAAAATATTATTAAACGTTTTTTTCTTAAAAAAATTGAGTATTTGTAATTTGAGTAATTACTAATTTGACTAGTTTGTTTGTACCTATTATCAATTATCATAAAATTGTTATCTCTATCGGAACAATACACATTGCGCCAATACACCTAAGACCGTTCTAAGATCGTGCACCTTGCCTTTTTAACTAAATCCGTGAATCGTGATTGTGTGATATACTGATATTATGTTGAATGTTCACGGGTGTGAAGTGAGCAATATACTCTCCAGCATTTATTGATAAGGGTGTTCATTTTAGCCGCAACAATTCAAAGATTTATACTCCGCTAGAGGGAGCAACTTCCATAGTCTGCTGGGTCTGGTATCCCGTCAATTGATCGAAAACAGTTGGTCGCATGACAATTGCTCGAAAACTTTTGTACGAAATACAAGTTTGAAGTTCTTGACTTATAAATCATTATAATCAGTGCAAATTTTTTTAATTCTCTTAGCCCTATCTCGGTATTTTTTTTTTTCTGAGGGTCTATGCCACATATATATTGCTCAATTTTGAGTCGATTTATGCTTTCTTCTTTCTTTAAAGCTTCAATAAAATGCCATATTGATGGATGTTTTCCACTTAAGATTGACGTAAAACAGTTATGCCAACCTTCAACGGAATTATTTGTTGTTGCTATATCTTGTTCTATTCTTAAAAAACAGTTCCACATTTCAATTTCAATTTTTGGTTGTTTTCGTCTTCTTCGTCTGTCTAATTTGCCTAACCAGGTATTTTCGAAATAGTCTAAAAATTGTTCTAATATTTCTTCATTTTCTTTATAATAATTACTTTCAATTAAAACACTATATGAACTTATTACATCATCCTTAGGAACAAATGCTAAAGCTGGTAACATTCTTAATTGCAATGCAAATTCAGGGTCTTCACTGTATTTTTTTGCAAGCCAAATTCCTGAACATGACGCCACATACACTGGGACAAATGAAAAAAACACCCGTTTACTTTAGTACTAGGAAATAACTGGTTTTTTTTAAAGTTCGACAACCTTCCGGAAAGACTCCACGCTTCAATTTACTATCAAATTAAAGCTTGTAAAATTTCCTACAAAATTCGTTCTCATAAAAAGTTGTACAAAAGTGTTCTACTTTAGGTAACCGACCTGTAAAGTCAACGATATTGAATACAATACGAAAATTACATGTTAAAACCTTTATTATGGTTTGGTTTTTTTAAAGTTCGACAACCTTCCGGAAAGACTCCACGCTTCAATTTACTATCAAATTAAAGCTTGTAAAATTTCCTACAAAATTCGTTCTCATAAAAAGTTGTACAAAAGTGTTCTACTTTAGGTAACCGACCGGTAAAGTCAACGATATTGAATACAATACGAAAATTACATGTTAAAACCTTTATTATGGTTTGGTTTTTTTAAAGTTCGACAACCTTCCGGAAAGACTCCACGCTTCAATTTACTATCAAATTAAAGCTTGTAAAATTTCCTACAAAATTCGTTCTCATAAAAAGTTGTACAAAAGTGTTCTACTTTAGGTAACCGACCGGTAAAGTCAACGGTATTGAATACAATACGAAAATTACATGTTAAAACCTTTATTATGGTTTGGTTTTTTTAAAGTTCGACAACCTTCCGGAAAGACTCCACGCTTCAATTTACTATCAAATGAAAACTTCCCTGGTTTTTAGATTCCCATTTGAGCGTATTGATTTTACAATGATGTGTTTTTTTTTTTTTTTTTGTTTTTTTTTTTAAATTTTTTTATGTTTATAATTTTATTTTTTTTTTGTTTTTATTTTTTTTTAAATATAATTTATAAGTTTAAAAAATGTGACAGAAATGTATTGTAATATATACACTTACTGTCAAACCCAAAGAAAAAGTTAATTTTTGACTAGTAATTAAATCTTTAAATTTTACATAGTAAACATTTAAACTCATCAATTTCATAGTTGATTGTTTTGTTTTTATCTTTGAAAATGCATTGCTGCGCAACCCAGCGAAAACATGATTCACAACATACCCAGTCAATGGTTACTTTTTCTATGTCACAACGGTGTTTATTCGAATTCCAACCGCAATAAAGACAAACATTGGTCATGTCTTCAGAGGTTTCTAGTAAATATTTTTTTAAAAACGTCCTATATCCTGAGGGGTCAAATGTTAAATCAAAACATGTCTTATTCATAATGGTAAATGCGTAATAAAGTATAAAAACACCACAATTGTAACCATCAGTTTGCTTGGGTACATTTTCGAACATATTATTATTTGTTGACATCTTTGGCAATTTATTACCATCTTCGTAAAGAAAATTTGAGGTTAGAACTCTGTGCACTTCTCGCAAACGAATCATTTTAATTCGTTCATTTGTGTTTAATGGGTCCATAACAGTAAACATTTTCATTTCTACGTTTATAACTAATAATATCCAATGATTATCATTAACCCTCCATGGCATAAGAATAATATCGTTATAAGAAACTTTAATTTTTTCATCATATTCTTCACCATAATAGACCCCAATACACCCCAATACACCCCAATACACCAATAACCAATAATAATATTCACTTCCTATTATCGAACAAGATACTGTTGAAGATTATCGAAGTAGGTTTATGCCCGGCCCAAAAGATGGGACAGACCCGAAAATGAAAAATTAAAAAACACACATCATTGTAAAATCAATATATTCATCGCTCCGCTGAGAATCTAAAATATAGGTAAAATATAAATCTTTTATAATAACAAAATATATTATTTTGTTAATTAAAATTATTATTTTGTGCATAAAAAACTTATATTAATACATTTTTAAATAGCCGACTTGGCAGCTCAATATCAAATGTGCCAACTGACCAACTAACCTACCAACTACCTACCCTACTGTATAATCACTGTATTTTCCAAAACATACGCTATTATATACGAATTGTTCGTAAAACAGTATAAGTATAAATATATATATGTTTATAAACATCACTAGTTTGTCTTCCAAATAATACATTAGGTACTATAAAAATAAAAATTATATAAAAAGTACACATTCAATATTTATAGGTACTATACAAAAAAAAGAATTTTTATAAATATCACATGTTAAACATCACTAGGTAGTGTAAGGTGAAGCGAGTGTGTGATACAAGGTGAGGCGCGTACATCGTAATCATTAGTAATTGATGGATTCAGTTCGGGAGTTCTCAAAAAAAAGTTATTAATTTTTTTTGGAGGAAATCGGAATATAACCTTTGGTGGAAAACAGCCATGGTGATAACAGGTGAGGGTCATTTTGGCGGAAAATGGAAACCCCCCTTTAAAAATACAGTCGGAATGGTAAACTCAAAGTTGAAAAATTGTCGTTTTTCAAATTTGCCATGTTTCATGTTTAATACGGAGACAACAAATGTCGGTGTGACGTCCCTTTAATGTTTATTAACATTTCCTATGGTATACACCATAAAATTAATGCGTCGATAAAAACATTTTCTCGAAGTCAAAAAAATAAGTACACATTGAATTCAAAGTTCCTCATAAATTGTTATTAGTGCAAAATGCAAATTACAAATAATTTGCATAAATAGGTACACAATAATTTTTTATAAACGTTTAAAGTTCGAATTTTGGCAAAATTTATCAAAATCTCGAAAATGATCAATCATTGTAATTAAAAAATTATAAAATGTTCAGTTTTTATAACTACCTAAGATTGAAAATATAAAGCAAAGACACTCATAAATAGTTGATACTGTATAACCAAAAAATTTTAAAAATATATAAGCACAGTGAATTTCTTACAGACATTTCATATTCAAATTTGGACGAAATTACATTTTGAAACCAAGAATAATACGTTTTTAGTTATTTTATCGTAATTTAAAAATATTTTTTGTTGGTAGGTATGTGAAACGTTTAGAGTAAAATATACTATTTTGTTATATTTTATATAAACGCAATGACGTTTTCAAATGTATTTTTTTTTGGAAATAACGAATTTAACTGACTGTAATAAATACTAATGCCTAATACTAAAATGAGTAAAATGATTTACTTTATTCACAATATCATCAAATATAGTAAGATATTATGGGCTGACTAATCGTCTTCGCTCAGAATAGTTTTTCTTATACAATGGTAATTATAATAATAAAAATAATCATTTTTATAATAAATTATTATATTATTGGATTCAAATTTAACACAATCCATTACAATGACTCACTTGTAACTTACTGTACAACAGAGCGACACCCCTTTATAAATTGTTTTTATAAATGTCAATACAATTTTCTTCCTTAGGTCAAAAAACTTGGAAATTTACAAGGCCCTCACACGTTACAATATCAGTTTAAAAATATTTAAGATATATAATATATAAAAAAATCATATCATAATCGTTTTTTTTTATAAGCACTTTTAGTAAACATTTTTCCAAAATTTATGAAATTGAAAATTTGCAAATTATTTTGTAGTTAAAAATGTATAAATATTTAAATTTAAAAACAAGATTCCACGTAAGTATAGTTCTCAGTACATATACTTTAACCAAAAAATCTAAACTAGTAGCGTAAACTGGCCATTATTTATGGTGGTGTATATTATAATTTATAACCCACAAATATTTGAAATATTCCAACTTTCTCTATATCACTGCGACTGATTTATAATTATAAACAATTGTTTTCCTTATACAAATTTGGTTCCATAAAAATAAAGGTAGGTACCTATTATTTTACCTAATATTTTAACTATAAAAACTTTATTTATTTATATCTTATACGCGTTATTAGCGTTTTATTATATAAGATTATTATTGTTAGTAGTAGTAGTTACTAGTAGGTATAAATTACGTGATTCATTAATTATCGCTCTCTAGCGGAGTAAAGTAAGCTGATTCTCGAATATCATAAAGAAATTCTATTATCAATTATTGCTGCAGTAGTATTGCTAACTTCACGCACATGAATGTTCTACGGTGATATTCTGATTTCTGAATTTCTGATATTCATAAATTAATAAATACATAGACCTTGTACACGAATAAGTCATATTAATTTATATATTTTATTAACGAATCACCAATTACCTTGTGAATTTAATTGATTTTTAAATTTTAATATAATATTAATAATCAAATATATAAATTATTTATTTTAATAATTTTCAAACGTTTTTATATGAAAATCAAGTAATTTCAAGGATTATTCATCTGCTTATTTTGGTGTCTGATAAGTGATAGGTAAGTAATAAGCCAGACATCAACCGTAATAATATTACCTATTGTACTTTTTAATTTTATTACCTAGCTATTGTTTTTCAATTTACGTTAAATGCTTTCAGTTGGTTAGGATGACAAGACATGCTAGGAATTGTACAGCAGGGGCTGTTTACACATACCATGAGAAACAAAAAGACGCTTCTCAGTCTGGTTACGGAACTCAAAATGAGCGTGTCGGCAAAGATTCCATTAAGAGCTTTGACTGTTGTTCAATGACATTACAACCCTGCAGAACTCCGATTGTTTCGTAAGTTTTAGTATAAGTGATAAGCATTTTACCAATTATCAGCTAAGAAATGAAATATTACTAATAATACAACATTTATGCTGTTTATTTTGTTATGCAGCCCTGAAGGTCATCTATTTGATAAAGAAGCTTTATTACAATACATGATTACCAAAAAAAATGAGTACAGTCGAAAACTGAAGGAGTACGAAAAACAGAAACACAAGGAAGAGGAAGAACTAGCTGAACTAGGTAGAGCTGAACAGCAATCCAAAGTCAATGATTTTCTTAAAAGAGAAAGTATGGTGAAAAGACAAAATGATATTTACAAAATGAAATCTCAGAAACGATCAGAAAAAAATGCATCATCTATTTCAAACATGGCTAATGGTCTGGATAAGCAGCTGCCAAGCTTTTGGGTACCATCGGAAACACCTGATGCTAATAAAGCGCCTATGCAAAAACCAGTAAAAACATTATTATATTACAATTTAGGTTATTATTGAATAGTAATAATATTAATAATAAGTCCTATTATATATTATTACTATATAATATATATCCATATATCTATAAAATATTTATTTGTTAGGTAAAATCACTATAACTCGTTGATTTTATATGAATTTTTACAACTGATATAGTTATTTGTTTCAGTAAGTTTTGTTTAAAGCAATCTAGTTAAATGTTTTGGTTATATTATACAGTTAAATGGCTATTATCCACATCAAAAAAGTATTCATTTCATGAACTGAGCACATTATTGAAACTGGGCTATAACCAAACACTCAAATTATTGAGTTTTATAAAAAAAATTAAATCTCTGCTCTTACTGTTGAATGTTGATTGATATCTGATGATTACATTATGCAGAATTTGTTATTAATATATATATTATTATTTAAACAATGTTGTAATTGGATTTTATTTGCATGTATTCCGTTTTCAAGGATAAAACTATTTATTGTCCAATGAGTGGCAGACCATTGAAGTTAAAAAACTTTGTGGACGTTAAGTGGACACTAGTAAATGACCCAAGTGATAAAAAATCTTTGGCAATTCGTGAAAATCGTTACATGTGTGCAGTGACACATGACATATTAAGTAATGCTGTACCTGCAGCCGTTATTCGTACAACGTATAAATCAATCACTTTATAGACATTATGTCAGTATTCTTTATATATAAAGTTAACTTATGCTGTTGTTTTTCTAGTGGTCATGTGATTACAATGGAATGTTTTGAGAAGCTAATTAAAAAAGATTGGCTACATCCTTTGAATGGAGATAAATTAACGGAAAAAGATATTATACCTTTACAAAGGGTAAGAAGTGTATATTTTTAATTTTGTTAACTTGTATTTACTGTTTTTTTTTTTTTTTTTTTTGTTATTATTAGGGTGGAACTGGATATGCAACAACAAATGTGAATTTGCAAGGAAAAAATGCAAGACCAGTTCTACAAGCATAAAGACTATGGGTATTAGAAATTTACAATTTTAAATACTACTGATATACTATCTATAATTAAACAATTTATGTACTCATTTGAACACAAAATAATATTACGTCTTAATTAAATATATAGTTTTTTTTTAACATTTCATTATTTTAATGTAGGATTATGATAAAATTTAATATTATGTACATAAATATACTCTATTCACAATAAAAACCGGTTTTGTTACGTAAATCCATGAGCTTCTTATTTTGAATAGGGTGTACATACTAAAATAGTTTATGGCATTCATTATTGTATGTAGCTTACATATATATATATATTAGGGTCAAGGGATGTATTGGTAGAATACTAAATAGTAAAATATATACTCTATTCAAAATAAGACCGTGACCAGGCGGCGACCAGTTTTCGTCGGGCAGTTATTTTAGTTGTTACTTAAAGATTAATGTAATAAAGTATTTTATTTGATACTTAAAAATAATGTAATTAAGTTACTTTACTTGTTACTCAAATAAAATAACTTTTCTATTCAAAAAGTTACTTCCTTGTTAAAAAGTAAATCTTTTCTTTAAATTTCTTAGAAATTAGCATTGTACGAGCAACGTAATTAGAAATACACTATAGTATAAGCGTATAATTTTAAAGGATTTACAAAAAAAAAAGGTGGGCAAGTGGGTGTCGCTCTGCTGTACAGTAGGTTACAAGTGGGTCATTGTATAATGGATGGTATTAAATTTGAATTCAATGATATAATATCATTGTATAAGAAAAACGATTCTGAGCGGAGACGGTATGTCCTTCTAGGTATGAGACATATTATATACATATCTATGGTATTAAAAAAAATTGACCTATAATGAATTCCAAATTAATCATATCACAATATCCATTAGGTACTTATAACGCGTTATACACCAACAACAAACCCTGATACTATCATAGATATATATAATAGATTACTTTAGAAATTTCAAGTACCCACGAATAATATTATACAATCACAACAAAATAACTAAAATCGTAATTCTTGGTTTAAATATGAAATTTTGTCTAAATTTGAAATTAAAATGTCTGTAAAAAATAAGTGTGTTTATATATTTTTTAGATTTTTTGGTTACAGTATGAATTATTTAAGAGAATCTTTGTTTTAAATTTTCAACTCTTAGTTATAAAAACTGAACATTTTATAATTTTTTAATTCCAACGATTGATAATTTTCGAGATTTTGATAAATTTTGTCAAAATTCCAACTTTAAATGCTTATAAAAAAAAATCGTGCCTATGTATTTTTAAAATTTTTCAACTGATATTGTAACAATGTATAAGAAAGCTTGTATTAAATTTTCAGACTTTTTGGCCCACCAAATAAAATTTTATTGACAATTATAAAAAAAAAAACTAAAAGAATTGAAAACTGAAAATGTCCGTAAACAGCTCAAAAAGAGTCAAAATATTTTCAAAATTGTATGGTGTATAGGAAATGCTAATATAAACATTCAGTGAAATTTTCATGTATCTACAGTTATTCGTTTTTGAATTACAACAAAATAAGGAAATCGCTACATGAGAAATCGAGTGAAAATCCAATGTTGTAAAAATTTGAATTTCAAACGCTCATAAAAATTTAATTTGACTGTCCGGTAGAGATTTTTTTATTGATAAATGTAGATAATCTTATAAGGAATCTTGTGTTTCATTTTCAAATCTTAGATTTAAAAAGAAAAATTTTTACGAATTCTTAACTCAAAATAATTTGCTAATTTTCGTGATTTTTCCATATTTTGTCAATTTTTGAACTTTAATTGCTTATAAAAAAAAATTGTGGCTAAGGATTTTTAATATTTTTCATCTGCCTTTGAAACAACACATTAGGAGCCTTCTATTAAATTGTCAAGCTTTCGCAACCAACAAATAAAATTTTATTGATATTTTTAGAAAAAAAACTAAAAAAAAATGGAAAATGAAAATGTCCCTAAACATTTCAAAATAAATCAAAATATTTTGAAAATGTTATCGTGTATAGAAAATGCAAATATAAACAACCAGTGAAAATTTCATGTATATACGTTCATTTGTTTTAGAGTTACACCAATAACCAAAATCGATTTTTTGGAAAACCAATTTTGCGTAAAAATTCCCGTTTTTCCTTAATTTTTATGTTGTTTTTTCCCGGCGCTTGTGAAAACTACTGGAAAATGTTTACTTTTGACCCCCCAAAGTACCAACTAGATTCACTTTCCTATCAGAAAAGGTACTATTGAAGAAAATTTAAGCACTTTTACTGTCCCAAAACGTGATGACAGACACAAAAATATAAAAATATAAAAGTATAAAAACACACATCATTGTAAAACCAATACATTCATCGCTCCGCTCAGAATCTAAAAATTCAGTAAGGTACCTAATATATAAAATATATTAAATACCTACATAACAGTATTAATTATGGTTATCACCTTATATTTCGATTTATCATTTATCAGTAACTACCTACCAGAAAAATAGATAGTTATTCTATTGACCAATGACCATCATGCCCCGATGCATGTACATGAGCAAAGGGGCCAGTACCCCCTCGGCCCTTACCTACTACTTTGGAAAAAAAAAATACTTGTTAAGCAATGCACTTGATATATTACCCATTTCCCCATACTCAGAGGCGTATTTACAATTTTGGCTCCACTTTTTTCTCAGTTTCCTTTTGATGCCGGTATTATAATTAAAAACCGAAACCAAAAATATAATTTAAAAAACTGTATTTTTTTTGAAAATCTTTGTATTTTGACATTTTGGAAAGCTTACTTTACACAACAGGCGATTCGAACGCTTGATCCGGCGACTCAAAAAAATTAATAAATTATGAATGAACGTAAATAGTCCAGGCCTTGAAACCGATTTTAGAAACCAGTATAAACCATTTAAAACTGAAACCGAAAATAAAATCGGACAAAATTGGAAACCGGTATTAAAACCAAAACCGAAATCGAAACCAAAACTGTAATTTCCTAATACCGTTACTTATTGAAAAATTAAAACCAAAATCGAAAAAAATTAAAACCGGTGTATAAAATCGAAACCGAAACCGAAATTTTTTCTTACTGTTTCAAGCCCTGTAAAAGTAATAACTTTTATTTTCCCCTTATTGCCCTTAATTTAAAGAACAATTTTAATTTACCATCACCACTCCATTTATTCCTAACAAAAGACACAATAGTAAAAATAAACAAATTATAATTTTAGATTTTAGCCTTTTTTTATGACAATTTAATAAAATACATTATATGTATTATGTATATAATATTATGTATAGAAATGTAAAAGATATTATAAGAAAGAATAAAGATACAGGTTATCACTTATCAGTGATCACTAATATAATTTCTCAATTCCAATAAAATAAAAAATATTTTTTTTTGTTATAGCCTCTTGCGACGGGGCCCCTCCTCTGCGGACTTAGAATTTGGCGCCCCGGGGCAATTGCCCCCATCGCCCCCTAAATTGGCCACTGCCCATACTTATATTAAATAATATTTTATATAATTTATTGATTATTGGTATTAATAATTTTGATATTTTAAGCAGCAGTTTAACTATATATTACCGAAAAATTATTCTTCGTTATGGATAATGGTTGTATTTTATTCAAAGACCAGCCCTGTGAATTAAAATCGAATCCACGATAGAGGGCGCTGGTGTCCGGTTGTAGAAACTATAACCATTAATTATAAATAATGTCATGTACCTAATCTGTGTAAATACTTAATACTAGTTGTATTTTTATAATCAATGCTATATATATATAATATTATTATGAATATAACTTCTAACTTTAAACTTATTAACCAAGGCCGTATACAGACATTTTTTTCGGGGGGGGGGGGATATTGTAATTTTATTGAATTTAGGTTTTGATATTTTGTTAAAAATAAAACATTTCGGGAGGGGGAGGACCTACTCTAAAAAAATTACCGCAGATACATACAATATTTACAAAATGTTTATATTATCATTTTCTGCACGCTATAAAATTATTTTGACTAACGTTAAGCTATTTATAGATGTATGCAATTTTCGATTAATACATGAATATAATGCGCCTGACTACATTTTCTTATTTTTCGTGTCTAATGTCTATTAAATAAGTGGGCCGTGGGGTAATTTTACTGACTGATTTTTGAAACAGTGAATGAAAAAGAACAAATAAATATGTAAAAATATGTAAACAATTTATTTAAAACAAGGTGTAAGGTAGGTAGGTACCTACCTAATATTAGATTACACTTTACGTAACATACGATTCATGGTTTTTTTTCGAATTCATATTTTGCTGTCTATGAATTTTAATAAAATGGTAAATTATTATATAGTGTTCCGGGTTTGATCGTTTCGTCTAGACATTTCCGTAATGACATTTAAACATACCGAACCTCAATAACTCTTTTATATCTTTTAGATTAAATCAAAAAATGTATACAACAGTCGACAATTGACATTATATCATATTCTGTTACTTTAGTGTGGAATTAATGTATGTAATATATTTTATATAGTTATCTACTTATCTATAGTGTATACATTGATGAGCCTACTGAAACATTGAATCTTGTTCTTTTATCATGTCATGTTAGGTAAGTAGGCTTTGCATTTGATTTACAAATTTTTGATTTGTAATGTTTATGTAAATATATCTAAAATAACTACCTACTTAACATTATTTGAATTATTGAAGAATTATGTTTATGTAACATAAATAGGTACCTACATAATATTTTATAGGTAACGTGAATACTGAATACCTACATGATGTGTAGTGTGTAGTCTATATTATTATGTCCTATATAATAATATAACGGCTACAACCATGGCTATATTTTTTTCTAAATAACTGTGCAGGGTTATATGCGTATAATATGCGATATGCCTATTGTACACGATTTCTGTACCTACATTCATAGTATAGTTGGTATATCGAATTATGTATTTTGATTTTTGGTAGTTTTGAGAATTAA